TAGTGTTCAATGTTGTAAACAGTGTAATCTTTTCTTTTTCTGTCATCCTAAACTACTAGATAAAACTCTAAGGAAACAATGTTCTTCATTTCTAATACAATACCAGTACAAATGGCTGTCATATTTAGATGACTACTCAAGATAGGCATACAATGGGGCATTTAACTATATGAGACTAACCTAATAGTTAACCAATATTTTTTCAATCACTTTAGGAATATTAAAAGTATAATAAAGATGGAAAACACATTCTCATTATTCTGTGAACCTCCATATTGTCGATAACTCTGTTACCAATTGATGATTTGATTCCATTGTTTTACCTGGATATAGAGATATGGTTATCATAGAATATTATATAGAATTATATAGAATATTATACAGTGGTATAAAGTGAAATTATGTGTTCGGGGGTCAAACAGACCTGAATTTGCATTTTAGTCCACCAGTCATTAGCTCTGTTATATTTATAAGTTACTTAAGTATAAACTTACATTTTGTAAGTTACTTAAGTTCATATCCATGAACCTGTTTTATCACTTGTAAAATAGCAATAATTGGAATTATCTAATAGGTTGTTATAAGATAGGTTATAAAACATATTTCAAGCACTTGATACATTTTTAACCTATATAGATAGGCATTTAATAAGAAGTATTGGTATTAGTTAAGCATAGATGCTTTAAAGTTATTTCAACATATGCAGCAAGTTCAATGATTTTTTTATAAAGTATATAAACACACACTTACCATAGGACTCATTGTTTCTACTTCTAGAGATATTTACTCAAAAGAAATGGAGGTAAATGTCTACAAAGTGACCTGTATGCAGATATTTAGAGCCCCGTTATTAATAATTGCCAAAAATAAGAGAAATCCAATGTCACTTAGATTGTGGTACCTTCACAGAGAGTGAAGTGACATAAGGAATCATTTACTGATACATGCAATAATATAGATCAATCTCAGAAGTATTATATTAAATAAAAGAAACCAGACTCAAAGACTGCATCATATTTATGTATATAACTTGCTAGGAAACAGAAAAACTGTAGGGACAAAAATCACATCAGTTGTTGTGTATAAAAAGCTATATACTGAAAATGGGTGAATTGTTGCTTTATGCAAATTATGATTTAATTACCCTGACTTAAAAAAATCCATGTGCATACTTATATGATATTGCATATATGTTTTGTTTTGATAAAACAAAAACTTTACCTTAAAAAATGAGTATAAGAATAAAACTTGTATTAGCATGTTCACTTAAAATTATAATTTTCTATAGAAATCCTGACTCACTGTAGACTGCTCAAAAATATATTTTCAGTAATTTTATCAAAATTTTCAATTAGAGCCAGACGCGGTGGCACACTCCTATAATATCAGAGTCTCAGGAGGGTGAGATAGGGGGATCTCAAGTTCAAAGCTAGCCTCAGCAAAAGCTAGGTGCTAAGTAAGTCAGTGAGACTCTCTCTCTAAATAAAATTCAAAATAGGGCTGGGGAGGTAGCTCAGTGGTTGAGTACCCCTGAGTTCAGTTCCCAGTACCAAAAAAAAGTGTTTTTTTCAATTAGCATATATAGAGAATGTGAAGAGTATAGTATAAGGGAAATATAGAAAATTTATTCCAACATAAGTCTGAGGGGAAAGAAAACAAAGTATGCTTACTGTGAAATATGAGGTAATGTGTAAAAACAAGTCCAAATATATCAGTAATCACAGTGTATGTATAAAAAACACTATAGGAAAAGATACATGTATCAATATGAATAACTGACCAAAAAACAATTGTCCATGAATACATAAAGATACAATATCTATAAGGATATAACTGTGTAGTAAAGTATAAAATATTCTTGAAAATGATGAACCCCAACTCACAGAGATGTTTTACTTTATGTCTGTGAGGGAAGGAAATAGATATGACTGGTAATGTGATTTTTGTGGGACAGGATGATTGATTTTTTTTTAATTTAAAGCAAAATATAAAATTTCTAAAAAATTTAAAGCAAGATAATGCCAAAAATGGCATTATCTATGCTGTCAATTTTTCAATTTTATAAATGGATGTATTTATTTGCAAAAACACAAATATGGCAGTTTCTATTTGTAAATGCATAGAATATCTCTTGAAAGAAACACAACAAAAAGGTAACTGGCAATATCACTAGAGGGGATATGTAGTACTGAAGAATGGAAGTGGGAGACTTACTTTACATCGAACATTCTCTTACCCTAAGTTTCATTAGTTTTATTTACTGTATGCATTTAATTATGTGAGTATGTACCTAGATGATAGCATGCAGTTTTTATAGAAGAAATTGCCAGAAAATGGGAATGGTATGCTCAAAAAAAAAAAAAACAAGAAAAATATAATTTGCTAATTTCCTTAATATTTTGAAATAAAATTCATTTTTTTACTTATAGTGTGATGGAATTATGTTAATGAAGAATCTGGGAAATACAATAGAAGTAAACAGCACTTTAAAATTAGTTTTTAATGCTCCATGTAACAGACATTCAATTCAAACTTCACTAACACAATGTCCCGCTCTGAAACAAAAAGGATTTACTTACCCAGGAAGTCTAAGAAGTAGATCTGCGTCTGTCTTCTGGCATATATAGCTCTAAGAGTACAAATGGTGTCATCAGGAATCAGTTTTCATCTGGGATAGTGGGATGGAGTACTCTGGTGAGAGAACATGGATCTTGTATCTGAGGTGATAGGGAATGAAGTTCATCCTAGCTGCTAGGTCTGAAGTAGTAGCCCTGTGCCATTGTGTAAGGAGATTTTCCCCCAAAGACAGCATGACCAGATAAAGTAAGGAGATTTAAAGCCAGAAAGTTTATAATAACCTTGACATAGTCACCAGAGTGTAGAGAGAAAATTAGACATTGAGAATAAGAAATTGAATTGTTTATGAAGCAACACTGCATCTTCATTGCCAACTAAATGTGGGAGTGAAAGGGAAATGTTCAATATTTCCTTAAGCATGAGAAATTTAAGTTCTCACAATCCATTTTCATTATGGAAGTTTCTAAGCAAAGATCTACATTTTGGTATTTTCCTAAAAGAACATTGCTTTTTTTGTTTGGTTTTAGTTTTTTGTGTTTATTCTTTGCAGAACTATCAGTTTAAAAAAAAATCAGAATAATCACCTAAAGTATTTAGCACTGGCATATTTTTCAAAGTTTCTGTTACCTGACTATTATCTGATGTATTTTAAATACAAGCAACAGGATATTTGAAGTTTTATTGAACTGAATGCAATGTGACCTTTTTTGTGTGATTCTTTTTAACTTGCTGTTAGTCATAGTGAGTATCTGTGCCTTCCAAAGTACCATTACAGTCCATACTTTAGGGTACAGTGAAAATTGGGGAAGTGGTTAATTATTGATGTCAAAAACAACTACTTGGGTTGGGGTTGTAGGTCAGCAGTAGAGTGCTTGCCTTGCATGTGTGAGGCACTGAGTCCAATCTCTGCACCACATAAAAATAAACTTAAAAAAATAAAGGTATTGTGTCTATGTACAATTAAAAAAAATCCTACTTTTTTATTTTAAAAGATTTTTCCTTATTTGTTAGAGTGTTTCATCTATAATTATGGAATACACCATGTTAAAGTAAGCATTCAAACATCTTAAGTTTAATTACAAAGAGAACCCTTTGTTAGAATTTATTAGCCCAGATAGAGAACAAATTAATATCTTGTGCCTAAACTTTATATGCAAATATCGAAACTGCTGCACATTTTTATAATTCTCCATTATTAAAATAGAAAAATGGCATTATCTATTGTTCACTTTCATTACACTAATTAATTTTTCTATAATTAGGATTTTTTATTTTTCTTATGACTGCATTCTTATGCAAGAAAATAATCACACCGAAATCACAATGGATTCAGCAACATTCTATAACTCCACTTGAAACTTTCAATTATTTTTAAGTATTGGCATTGATGTAGTTTGTGAGGTTTGTGACAATAAGATTGCTTTGTGTTTGTGTTATCTATCAAACAACATTTCGGGTAAAAAACAATCTTTTCATGCAAATTTAATCTCAAATTAATAATATTAAAATCTGCTTACTGGTGCTATATTTAAAAAGCTATGCTGAAAACCCTTTTGGCATTTCTTAAAATCTAGTGTGAATGATGGTGAAAAGACTGCAAAAGGTTTTGAAATTACTGTTTTAACCCTATCAAAAACACTATAGATAACACTACATTTCAAAAAACTAAAAAATATATATCTGAAGTTTTCACCATAAAGAAATGATAACTGTTTGAGGAGTTAGAGTTTAACCTGATTTAAACATCATAAAATATACACGTGTTTAAACATCACATTACTTAATTAGAATAATTTTATGTTTTCAAGTTATCAGTTAAAATAAATTAAATTTGAAATCTCTAGCATTCAAAGTTGCTAACATTTGCCTTTTAGGGATTTTTTTTTTCACCTAACAAAAAGGAATTGAAAAGGTTAAATCATTTCTGTAAGAATCAGATATGTCAGGTATTTTTTTTCACATTAAATATCAAAGATGGCTTGGCAACATATTTAGAATTTTCTGAGCTTTACTATTAATAAAGTTAAAAGAAAATCTAATGTGATTAGGCAGTGAAGCCACATTCAATTTGTATGTGAAACACCCATTGTGCTTATCTCTACCCTAGATATTGCTCTGAACCCATGTACAACATTCTGAATTCTGTGTATAAAGTTAAACATTGCAGAAGGGCATATATCTGATGATACAGATAAAATAAGGTAGAAGTTTAATAATGAGCAAAGTTCATAATTTACTGTTCATGTCTTTGGTATTTCTATTATTAATACATTTTAATCATTGTCTGTGAAATTAAGACACTAATAAAAATATTGATAAGTTTTTCAGCTCCCAGAAATGTAAGACCTCTATTCATACTGTACTACTGTTTTTTAACACCACAAAATTAATATTGAAATTTTAAAAATGTTAACTACTTACAGGCAAAGTTGTTATCGATGCAAGAAGCCAGAGAAGCTGCAGTTGAACAGTACAAAAAATTGGAAGAAGAAATCCAGACACTACGAGTTTACTACAGGTAAAATTCTTTTTAGCTTGGGCTTAAATAAATATTGTTTGGGAAATGTTTCTACCTAATTTCACAATAGTGAATGAGGAGATACTTAAGTAAAATAAAAAATTACACATTCAAAGCATTTTTGTAACTTTAAAAATATTTAGCCAAAAATTTCATCATTCTACCTCTTTTCCTTCCTGCATTTGGTAAAATTTAAACTCCCATCAAAATTATAAAATTTACATAACTCATTACTAGATGTCTAAATGAAACCTTGTTAGCTATTGAACTATTTACCCATCTAAATGCCACCTCTAAGGTGATATACGTTTTTTAAATACTATGTCAATAGCAGTCATAGTAACTTTTCAACTATTATAGTATACTTATGAGAAGTTTCTAAAGAAATGTCTCTAAAGGATTTTTAACTGACTTAATTAGTTTATGTTCCAGTAGTTGTAAAATTAATTCAAAAAGTTAAAACTGGCTTTTCTTCTTAAATTTATTTATATGTGGTGCTGAGAATCAAACCCAATGCCTCATACATGCCAGGCAAGTGCACTACCGCTGAGCCATAGCATTTTTAATGAAAAGAAATAGAATAGAAAATGTCAGATTGTATCCTGTATAGTAAGAATAAATACTGTTTTATTTTTGTGTCAGTTTTCTGATGTGTATGTGAAGAGAGGGATAAGATTATATATTGGATTATATGCAAAATATGTGTTCTCACAGTAAATCATGGTTTAGAAAAAAAGTTTGAAAACACTGATGCCCTACAGATTTTTCAACTACTAATATTAAAAATAACCTCAAGTCTGAAATGTGAATTCACTAACTGAAGTTGTACTGAAAGTTGTTTTTGTTATTAATTTGAACCTCTTCTTAATATAATGTTGATAAATGCAACTAAATCAAAATCAGTTTTACTGGAATACAATTATGAAGTTTTTACATTACAATATTGCTAAATGTCATCATGACAAATGCATTAAATAGTCACTTCTAGTAACACATCTAATGACTGTGAATGATATTTTTATGTAACTGCAAATACTTAAGTATATGACGTGAAAAGTATATGACAGCTTTGAAGGTGTCAATGACATCTGCAGCAGTTGGTTGTTATGGATTGAATGTGTCACCTCCAAAACAGGTATGCTGAATTCTAACCTCCAGTACTCAGAATGTTTTGAAAATTCATTTTGAAATAGGGTCATTACAGAGCAGTCAAATTAAAATGGGGTCATTAGGATGAATCCTAATCTGACTGGCATGCTTTTTTAAAAAAGCAGGGGGCTGGCCAGGGGAGCAATCTGGCTTTGCATGATAGTTATCACCTAAAATCCCAGTGATTCTGGAGGCTGAGGCAGGAGGATCTCAAATTTAAGGCCAGCCTCGGCAATTTATTGAGACTCTATCTCAAAATAAAATTTAAAAAGGGCTCAGTGGTAGAATGCCCCATGTTCAGTCCACAAGTACCAAAAGAGAAAAAGACAAGAGAGAAAGACAATATTAAGTAACACAGAGCCGGGGGTGGTGGCACACCCCTGTAAACACAGCAGCTTGGAAGGCTGAGGCAAGAGGATCTGGAGTTCAAAGCCAGCCTCAGCAACTTAGCAAGGGCCTACACAACTCAGGGAGGCCCTGTCTCTAAAAAAAATTAAAAAGGGCTGGGAATGTGGCTCAGTAGTTAAGCATCCCTGGGTTCAATCTCTGGTAACAAAAAGAGAGAGAGAGAAGATGGCCATGTGACTGAAGTGATGCATCTACAAGCCAAGAAATGCCAAGAATTACCAGCAAACTCTAAACACTAGGAAAGGCAAAGAAGGATTCCCTTTTAGAGCCATCAGAGAGAGTATAGCCCTGCTGACACCTGATTTTAGACCAGTTTGTCCAGAACTGTGTCACATTAAATTTCAGTTGTTTTAAGCCATTTAGTGGGAAATCATTTGTTTTTGCAGTTACCATCAGTGGCTATAGATGAGTATTCAGGTGGGCAGGTAGGCAAACTCCAATAATGAATGAATATATTCACTCCTTTTTTTAACTGTTGAATGAATATTATAGTCTTTTCTCTCTTTACACCAGTGATTCTCAACTGTTAACTACTGTTAGAATCACCTGAGGAACCTCTAAAAATCCTGATCCTGATGCCCTCCCTACACAACCTAGGCTTATTATATCAGGTATAGGTGTGTTTTAAAGCTCCTAGAAATTTTCATGTGCAGCCAAGTTTTAGAGCTAGTGTTTCAAATGCATATTTGTTAGCTGTATTAAATTAGGGTCTCAGTAAAATATTAAAAGGATACATGATTAACCCTTTATTAAGACTTATGAGCCAGGCCTGGTGGTGACACCTATAATCCTATTCAGGAGCTTGAGGCCAGCCTACATTGCAAGACTCTGTCTCAAAATAAATAAAGAGTTAGGGACATGGTTCAGTGATAGAGGACCCCTGGGTTTTATCCCCAGTACTACACACACACACACACACACACACACACACACAAAGGCTTATATCAATGTCATATGATTGTTGCCTATTGGTGTTACAGTGTGGGAGGTAGCAGATTCACTCCATTTATATGAATAATTTTTATGGAAACTTCTCTGCTACCCTTGTGAGATAGGACAACAGGTGCTCTGTTGATAAAATGACAGTGTCCAAGAATTTTAACAGATGTATGATAATCTTGCATGAACTGACATTACTTCCTCAAAAAAAAAAAAAACTAAGATGCCAGTTCTTAAGGCTCCTTCTCATTGCTGAGTTGCAGATCACTCAATTATTTTGAAAAGTATGAAGCTAAAATATTTGTTTTCAGAGGCCTTTTTTTTCTATTTACATCAACATGATTTCTTCTAAACAATTCAGTAGGAGAATTAATGAGTGTAAAATTACTAAAACTAAGGAGAAATTTCCAAAAAGTAAAATACCACTAAATAGTTGTATTAGATAAGAATTAAAAATATCCTTTGTGTTTGATATTTGGTGGTCATTAGTGACTTCCACAAAAAAAAGTTTCATTAAATATAAAAGAAACAGTTCTTAGTAAATTGAAGAGAAACAATAGGTAAAAAAGTATGGCAATTTGGACAGTGGCATAATCCTTGAAGAAACTTGAATAAAAAAATATAATAATGACAGTTGAGAAGAAAGGAAGGAAGGTTAGTGATTTTCTTTTTCTGGTTTTGAAAAGTGGCAAATTCTTGAATTTGTATGGTTGATTGGAAGGAGCCCATAGAAGTGTTATTGAACAGACTCTGGAGAAGGTGGAAAGAAAGAGACTTAAGAGTATTTGTAGAAGAGTTTATGTTGAACAGGAAGATGGCCAACTTGTAATCATAGATAGGAGTAAAGGAGGTAAGAATAACACAGTGTAAATAAATTTGAGGCTTCAAAAAATAGAGATTGATGTGAGCTTCTGAAGATGAGTGGTCAGGAGGCCCTGCCAGGAATGATAGGGTTAGAATAACCACTCAAGTTCAGAATGGGAGAGAGAACTGAATATGGGCAAAAAAAAAAAAAAAAGTCAAGTCAAGGGCTGGGGATGTAATGTAGTCCAGTGGTAGAACACTTGCCTAGTGTGTACAGGCTCTGGGTTCAATCCCCAGCACCACAAAAGGTCAGCAGGGAGAAAAAGGAGCCTAGTCAAACAATCCTGAGGACTCAGCTAGGGATGGATGCCACATTCAAGTACCCTTGTATAACAGTAAAAAAAGCAAAGGATTGAACTGTCTTAGGATTCCAAATTATAAGAGGAAAATGATAGAGAATAGAGAAGATTGGAGGGTACTAGCAAAAAATGTTGTTGGAATGATAAATGATTTTCTAAGCTAAATAGGTAAGAAAATAAAGTTGAAGGGACATGTATACTGAGAAAAAAAGGAAGTATCAAGAAACCATAAATCTTAAGGAGATTACAGAATAAATATAATAGGACTAAGAAAATTCAAGACCTGAAGGGATAGGAGGTTATAGTCAGGTCAAGAACATTGCTATTTAAAATCTCAGAAGTGGCCAGTTGTGATGGTACACACCTGTAATCCCAGCAATTCAAGAGCCTGAGGCCAGAGGATCGAAAGTTTGAGGCCAACCTTAGAAACTTATCAAGGCCCAAGAAACTAAGGCTTTGTCTCAAAATAAAAATAAATGAAAAGGGCTGGGATGGAGCTCAGTGTTATCTCTGGGTTCAGTAATCCTGGGTACAAAAAAATAATCTCAGAAGTAAAACACTCAGTTCTGAGCAATGATGATGTTTAAGGCATTGCTTTAGAAGTGGATAATTAATATGAGAAGAGGTGAAGGTCACAAGATGTAAAACATATTGAATATTCACTTAGGTATCATCTCTAAAAATACTGATATATGTGAGTTGCTCCTTATTAAGGGTGAAAATAGAAAATGACCTAAAAATAAATAAAATCTTCATCTTGAAATACAAGAATGACAGATAGATAGATAGATAGATAGATAGGTGTATCAGAGGAAATCTGACAATGTGGATGCACAGAAGAATGTATGATAGACACCTAAGAAAAATGTGGGTAACATAAGTTCATCTTCCAGAAAAATTCATGTGTCTTATCAAAACAAAAAGGTACAGAGAACTGTTGTGGCTTGATGGTGGGAATGTAAAATGATGTAATTGCTATAGAAAACAATTTGATGGTTTCTCAAAGTTCAAAAACAGAATTATCACATGATCCAGCAATTCTGCTTCTAAGGATATACTCAAAAGAATTTAAAACAAAGATTCAAACAGTTGTTCATAGGAACATTATTTACAGTAGCCAAAAGTTAGAAGCAACCCAGGTATTCATTAACAAATAAATGGGTAAACAAAATGTGGTGTAAATGGGTGTGTATGTAAATTGAAATATTCAGACTAAAAAATGAAATTCTGCCCTAATCTTCATCATGTGGGATTAGGTCCCAACTTCCTTAATAAGACTCCTATAGCACAAGAATTAAAAACAAGAATCAAATAAATGGGATGGATTCAAACTAAAAAGTT